CTCTGATGACTTTCTTCAAGTGATAGAGGTTAGGTTCACATCTGAACAAGTACCTGGTTGATATTGCCTTATACTCATTTCTGCCCTTCCAGTCTTTGAAACATAACCCTGAGGAGGAGTTACTGTAAATTCCTATTTTAAGATGTAAAGGTAGGTGGCCATAGCCACAGGGGGAAATGGGGACAAAAGAAGAAAGCTGAACCGACACAGAAGTACCTTGGAGTGTGTGTGTGTGTGTGTGTGTGTGTGTGTGTGTGTGTGTGTAAAGCTTTAGGGATACTTCTAGATATGATTAACTACAAACATATCAATGATTGTAACTAGAGCCAGAATAGTGGCTATTTCTAGGGGAGACGGAGTAGAACAGATTGTAGGACAAGGGAATCCAGTTGTTTTGGTAGAGTTGTTTCTTACGTTTTGTGGAGTTACACTTATGACCATTTGTTAAACAGTATATAAGTGTTTTATTCACATTTCTGTATTATCTTGTGTTTCTAACTTTTAAAAATGAAAAGAATTAAAATGTTAAAAATTTAAAATATTTAATAGCACTTGTTTTTTTGTAAAAATATATTACACATAAAGCTAGTTTTTAGTTATTCTCATGTGATTATCATCCTTAGCATGATTTATGAGGTTCTGATCTCCAGCTGGTTTATCCTTGATAACTGGCATACTTCCATGCTGTTTCCCATATGTTTAGATGCTGGAAGCAATGCCTGGCTTTTACCCATTAGCCAATTGAAAAGATAATATTCACCATCTTTCTTATACCAATCAATAAAGTAATCAACGTGAAAGATTTGTTATTATAAATCCAAAAAATCCTTATTATTGAGTCACGTCTATCCTACACCCTCTGACAACTTGCACTAAAGCCCTGCAGTGGGGAGGCTCAGGCGTTTGAGTTTGCTCCAAAGGGAGCCTGGCCTAACCAGGAATCTGGGAACGATCTATCAACAGAGACAGGAAGCAGCTAGATTCCCTAAGTGCAGCTTTTTTACTAAACGGGTTCAGAGTGTGTCACCTCAAAAAATCATGCCACTCTGGCATAGGGATTATTTTGAACTGAAGGCAGTTGACAAGAAATAGAGTCAAGCTCTCTGCCTTCCCCCTATTTGCCTAAATACAAGACATAAATACGTAAAGGTGTCCCGCCTACCCTCTCTACCAGGAAGGACAGAAGTTTATCACTGGAGACAACTATAGACCCTTAGCACCCCAGAGATGGCAGCAGAGAAATCTACAAAAAAACCCTTACAAAGTAGGCTTTATCTTCCATGAGTTTCCCTATAAATTTACCTTTCCACAGTTTGCCACCGAAAAGCCTAAATCCTCCTTCCTTTGTCTTGTCACTCCTCTACAAAATTATTATCTTTGTCAAGGTGCTATATAAGCCCCAAGTTTTAATCATCCCTTTACCTATCACTGAGTAAGCCCCTGTGTATGCATGATGTACATGCTAATAAACTTCTGTTTGTTCTTCTCTTCTTAATCTGTCTTTTGTCAGAGCCCTAGTTAGAAAATCTAGGAGGTTACAGGGAAAAGTCTATTTTTCCTCCCTTACACTACCTACTCCTAACAGATGTCCTTTCAATTCCCATTTTGCTCTAGTTTCTGGAGTTGGTGTATCTTTTTGGTTTACTACAAAGATAGGAGCCTATGGCTGGGGCCCCCTCTTGCCCCCTCTTACCCCTCATTGTCCCTCATGTGGAGTGTTTCTCCTGGCTTTTATTCCTTGGCTCTGCTCTTGGAATCAGTCCTTCCCTCTCTCAGTCTCTCCACTCTTGCTTTTTGAAAAAATTTGCTCCCCAAATTAACAGCCTACTTTTCCCCTCTCTTCTGAATTATTCATTCCATCAGTACACAGGCTGTAATAGTTTCCATCTCAAAAACAAAAAAAATCCTCCCTTGACTCCTAGTAAACCCTACAACCCCATCCTGTCTCATTTCTCTCCCTAATTCACATCAAAAATCTTTGAATGATTTGTCCATGTTTATTCCCATGACTTCCTTAAAATACTGCCGCCCGTTTATCCACCCGAATCAAAATTTCTTCCCACTACGGTATTGAAACCGTTTTTGTCAAGGTCAGTAAAGACACCCATCTCACCAAATCCAATGATCAATTCTCTCTCTTCCTCTTTCTCAATTTCTATACAGCATTTGACATGGGACCACTCGTCCTTAAAGGACTCTCTTCATCTGACTTTGGGAACACCTCACTTCCCTGGGTCTTCTCCAAATGGCTCTCCATTCCTTCCCAATTTTCTTTGCTGCCTCCCCTTCTCTTCCTGACTCCTAAGAGCTGGCCTGCTCCAGATCAGTCCCTAGTCTACTGCTCTTTATACGCTTTTTCTCTTTCCCTTGGCAGCCTGACTTCATAAACCATCGCTATGGTGATGTATCCCAGAATGACATTTCTAGCCCTAAACTCTCTCAGGAATTCAGACTTGGAAATTTAATTGCCTCCTTGACATCTCCATTTGGTTTTCAAATTAGGCATATCAAACCAGTCTTACAAAAACAAAACTTTCGTTTTTCCCTCCTAAGCTTGCTCTTTGCTCTACTGCTTCCAAATCAAGAAACATTTCCCTCATCCTTCCAATGACTCAGGCCAAAAGCTTTCTCTTATTCGCTGAACATAATCCATCAGCAAGTGCTGTCGGCTCTCTCTTCAGAGTGAGTTATGTCTCCAACTGCTTAGCAACTCTACAGCTGCGTCTTAGTCCAGGCTGCTCTGCTATTACCTGGTCTCTCCTCCAGCTGCTGCTGTCTCGCCTGGTTCTATCTGGCCTATCTGACCCTGCTAGTGATTCCCTACAGATCTTTCTACACAGAGCAGACGCAACTATTTTTAAAAATGAATATAATGTATGTTTCTTTCCTTCATAAAATCCTTCAATGGCTTCCCCTTATACTTGAAATGCAAATTCCTTACCGGGGCCTAGAAGACATTATATGGCCTGTCCCTCACCTGTATCTCCTACTAGTTTTTCCTTTCTTCATTATGTTCTAGCAACACTAGCCTTCTGTATTTTTCTTGGATATGCCAAATCTCTGCCCACTTTGCAGACTTTACACTTTTGTTGTGCTCTCTGTCTGGTAGATTCAACCCTAATCGTTGCATGGCTACACTCTTCTCTGTAGAGGATTCTTTTCCAGGCTTTCCTCTAGAGTTTTTCCTTGACCTTATTTAACATACAGCTTCCCCTCCACTCCTGATGCTCTGCTTCTCTTTTCCAGTAACCTGGCTTTTACTAACTTTGTACATACTTACTTTGCTTTGTACATTCTTAGTACATGATCAGTATGTATCATTATCTCAAATTATATTATAATCTATTTTCTAATGGACTACTGTCTTCTTTAAAACATAAACTCCAAGAGTATTGTGTAGCATACAATAAAAATGATACAATTTCTTCTCAAAAGACATTGCAGACTCCTGATAACTCCACGGTGATCAGTTAGATCTCTAAGTTATATTAGACCCAGAGACCTCTTGCTCCAGGGAGAATAGTTTCATTCTCCTTAGTGCTATTCAGATAGACATTGGCCAAGATATTAACCTCTGACTACATCCTTGGACAAGAAAATGGAGTGAAATCAGCTGGGTCTTAACTCTCCCCAGGACAGATGTTTTCCAACCCAATGAAAGGTTTATTTACAGGTCTACTGAAACATCCTTCTTCCCTCTATACTCCTTGGAAAATACTGAAACAAGGTTGGTTTGAAAAGTTGGTGAACTATTTTAATAAGTCATCTTCAGGTTTGGATTTGAAGATAAATTCATCAAGAGTAAAGGTCAGACCATGTTCCCTGAAGCTACTGGAAACCAGACTCCAGTGCTAACCACTGATAAACAAATGGTTTAAACCAAATAGCTCAGAGGTTAAACTTTGCCGTGAAAAATATGCCGCAATATTCTAGGTGACTCAAAAAATATGAACATTTTTCTCATTTACTAAACCAAACATTTGGCCCACTAATTTAAAAAACAAAAACAAACAAAAAAACTAAAACCAATTTAAACTAAACTCCTATCTACCTTCCTTTGAATGAAATAGTGATTTTTTTTAAAGTGTACATATCCTCAAAAAAATTATAGAAGTTCAGAGGCTACACATAGTACCAGAAAGCAAGTAATATATTTGTGAGGCAAAAATCTTTACCACTTTTGGTGCTCAAACCACACTCTATTAAAACTCATAATTTTCAAATAGAATATATGAACAGGTTTCTCTGTTGAAGTTTGCATAGTGCTAGCCCTGGATTAAATATTAAGGAATCAGGAAGGAAGTAGAATGAGGAGAAGCTAAAAGCCAAAGGCAATCCACTCTCATAATATGTTGCTGGAAATCGCATTGTATTGAGTTTTGGGGTAAATGAGCAACTCCCTCTCACATTGATCACTATTTACCTTATTTTAAATAGGAGAATTTCAAATGGACTCTTCTGTGATCTTTTTCTAATAAGAAAGATTTCTGGAGGAAATCTTTGAGGTACACAGTGAGTCTTCTTAAAAGATAAAAAAGAAACATTTTTAAAAGTTTAGTTTTTCTCCACAAAAACTCTGAAACACATCTATTTCCTATTTTTTTGTCCTGTAACACACATCCAGTAACTAAAATACATTTCTGAAATTCGAGCAGTTATTTGGGAAATACTGCAAGTATTCACCCAATGTGAAAGTAGGGTGTGTTACTGTGCACAAGTATTCCTAAACATTATGTTCCTGACACATCAAACACTCAATAATGTTTTATTGCATAAATGAATAAACCCTGTGACACATAAAGTCATCAAGAAATAAAGCATATGTTTCTTTCCAAAAAAAAAGCAGGAATAAATCAGTAGTTAGGCCATTTTTATTTCTAGTTATGCCATAAATGTATGTCAAAGTCTTGATCAAACTATATATATCCTTTAAAATTTAAATATCCCTTTTAGAAAAATTTTTACATTCATATAATTATGACTTTAACGTTTTTTTCTAGAATGTCTTTCCTGGCATATATAGAAGATGCAAAGATTAAAGGTACAATTCCACCTTCAAGGAGTTCATATCTGGAGAGAGAAAATAACAAGTAAACATAGAATTATAACATAGTGTAGTGGGCACTACATGAGAAGCATGAAAAGATTTCCATGACAGTACATCAGTAAGATGTCTTATCCATCCTGGGGAATCATGGCAGGCTTCTAAGATAAAGTGGGGGTCTAAGTCAAAATTTGAAGGACAAATAGTAGTGGCAAGGAAAAGAATGAGTGAGAGAGGAAAAGATATTTCTAGGAGAGGCACAAATATAGGAGTAAGAGAAATCACAGGGCAGGGAAATGAAAATAGTTCTACAGTGGCTGAAATATTAGTTGGAAATAGAGAAATGGCAAACTCAGAAGGCTTCCACGCTCAGATGGAAAATTTAGAGGTATGAAGGGCACAGCATAAAAGAATGGGAAATAATGAGAACTATGGCAGCTGGAGATTGCAAGCCAGGCTAAAAGCATTTATAGTGAAATGAATAGACAAGGAACTGCATAAACAAAATATCTACAGGTTGGAGATAAAGTCCGTGAATCAGTAGTGTGTGATTCCATGTTAACGATTTGATTTTAAAAGGCTTTGCATACAATGGTAAATCATTTTAACTTTATCTTCATACCACGGGAAAACACTGAAGAATTTTAAGTAGGGCAGTGACATAATATTTATAATACAAAATAATGGCAAAACTACCCTCTAGGTTATGGAGGGTATGGTAGGTTAATTGAGTACGTACATCTAAATGTCCATGTCCACAGTTCTCATCAAAGTAACCAAAAAATACATATAAAAATGAAAAGCTCTGACCTTCATTCTGAAAATTAGAAAAAGGAGAATCTTGATCCTAGAAAATTTAAACATTTGCTTGCAACATAATAAATATTGAACTGCAGTGGAAGAGTTGGCTGGTTATTGACTGTCCACTGGGAGAGGAAGACTTTGTCTCAGAATTAAATGTCAAACAGGAATGTTTAACAGGAATGTTGTCAGGAGAGACTGTGGGAGATGAAAAAGGAACATTTTTACATTCAGTAATTGTAATTGATTCAATGAACAAGAATTTGGATTTTGATTAGAATTGAACACATGACATAAGCATAACTTGAAAAATGCTTGCAAAACTCAGAAAAAAAATAGGAGCAAAAATAATGAGAGACTATATAGTGTATATTTGGTTTTGGATATTTTATATAAAATTAGAATTTCAAAAGAAACAAGCACAGCAGATAAAGAATGAGAAGTTCTAAAATAAAAAAACAAAAACACTTTCCTAATCCAAAGATTTGAGTTTTCATAATAAAGTGGATTACTAAAACCCAGATTTTTAAAAAATAGAAGTGTTAGAGGTTTTATGTGAAATTTTTAATAGTGGCAACATCTTTAAAAATTCAAATAGAAAAAACTATGCTTATAAATGTAAAAAATTCATCTGGTATCACTCTTCTCTGCAACATGTTATTTCAGAAACAATGGAGTAATGATACCCATAGGTCTTTGGGTAGAAAGAAGATGACACAAAAATTCTACATGAATTGAGTGCATAAATGTGGGCAGAGAAAATAATTTTAAGTTGTAATAATTCTGAGAAAGTATTCTACTCAATTCTGGAACTTTCTAAATCAAAACTACTCAAAGAACTACTTTTGTTGACTAAGAGATGGATTAAAATAAACTCAATAATGGGGAGGTTGTGCTATTATATTATTCATAGTGAGCAGTGGTACCAGAAAACAGTAAATGATTGCTGTTAATATGGCTACAATAATGAAATTTGTGTCAAACAAAAGTTTTAAAATAAAATATACATTATAAAGAAATAATAAGAAAGATCTAAAATAAGAGGTGGTAGTAACCAAAATTGAAAAGGTGTGGAAGGGAAGTTGGATGTATTACTGATTTCTTACTTCAAGTAAACAGAAGTCAATATATTTTTTACAAATATAATTTTACAAATTGAAACCAGTAAGTTTGAAAATATTTTTAAAATCTTAAAACCAACTTTTAATAGAATTTTAAAAACAATGCACTAAATAACTTTGAAAATGTCAAAGGAAAGCAAAAAGCAAAGGAAACACTGTTATAAATGACATGAATATTAAAAGAAGAAAAAAAGAGAAGACACCAGAGAAACCTAAAAAGCAAGGTATCATGAAAGTAACAAAAACAAAAACATAATTTAATTAAAAACTCTTCAAATAGAGGAAACGCCCACTTGGGAGAAAAGCAAAAAACCCAAAATAACAAAAAAAAGCCCCACAAACTTGTGTGCTATTTACAAGAGATACAAAATAAATAAAAACAAAACCTCAAGTCCACCCAAAAAAGAAAGGAAAATAGGTAATATTAATGGCATCCATAATCAAATTCAAAGAAATAAAGTTGTTTAAAAAAGTTATTCTTTATTAAACACTAATATACTTTGAAGATATAGTAGGTTATAGTGGCCATTATCTTTTATGTTCTCAACAAGAGCTAACTTATTAAAAGCAAAAGTAAAGAGAAATAAAAGGATTTGGCTAAATCGTAATTATAACGGAGGGTGTACATTATTCTCATTCTTTGTCACATCAAGTAGGAAAGTAATAAAATGGGTGGTTTGGGCTTCCCTGATGGCGCAGTGGTTAAGAATCTGTCTGCCAATACAGGGGACACGGGTTTGAGCCATGGTCTGGGAAGATCCCACATGCCGCAGAGCAACTAAGCCTGTGCGCCTCAACTGCTGAGCCTGCGCTCTAGAGCCTGCGAGCCACGCTACTGAACCCCGTGCACCTAGAGCCCGTGCTCCACAAGAGAAGCCACCGTGATGAGAAGCCCATGCACCGCAAGGAAGAGTAACCCCGCTTGCCACAACTAGAGGAAGCCCACACACAGCAACGAAGACCCAGCACAGCCAAAAATAAAATAAATAAAAAAAATTTTTTTAAAAAGGTGGTTTGAAATATACTCTTAGATATGCTTATTTGGATAATGGGAAGTTGATTTATGAAGAATTTTACTTAGCATTCTATTTCAACTTTGTGCAGCTCACAGAGGAGCTCAAAACTGAGAGCAGAATAAAACAACTATGCAATCACGTTTGCAGTGTTATACTGAAACATGGTGGTTTAACTTTCCTCTCACAGTACCCGTGATTTGTTTGTAATCACGTCACATATCACTCTCTAATAATTTCATATATCAAGTTCCTAAAATATGACCTTTTCATTTATTTCTTTCCTTTCTGTTTTTATTATTTTATTTTTGTATTAAAGGTTGAATAATATGTTATGGGTATTATACATTATATTTTGTTTACATGATTTTAGGTGTATGGTAAGCGATAGCTACCAATGAAAGGAGAAAAACAGCCATAAGATAGAGTACTTAATTAGATGAAAAGTATCTATTAAAATTGTGTTTTATTTGACTATTGAGGGAATTATGTCCATTTAATAAGATTTGGTAATAATTTAACAAAAATTAGCATTGATATTGAATGCAGTTTTTCCCCATTGAAATGAATACTATTGACCTGAGATACTTAACCTATTACAGGGCTTTCATGAATTTAATATGTTTGAAAGGCAGAGAAGAAAATATGTGTACCTACAGTAGACATCCATAATTTCCCAAACATTCATAGAGCATTTACAAAATGCTTGCACTTAATTTTAAAAAATCATTATATTCCCCAAAGTAAATAATATTATCTTCTCTGGACACAATAAATTCAAACTAGAAAGAAACATAGAAAAACAAGACAAAGCAAACTTAGACCTTAGAAAATACTGTCCTTGTGTCTTTGGATCATAATGAAAAACAATTCTAGAAATACATACCAATGAGGAAACAATATATTAAGTGTCTATCAAAACGTCTAGAATGCAGACATAGAAATGTTAAGATAAATCTTCATATTTCTAGATACTTTTATTCTTGCTTAAAAAAAGGTGAAAATAGGGCTTCCCTGGTGGCGCAGTGGTTGAGAGTCCCCCGGCCGATGCAGGGGACGCGGGTTTGTGCCCTGGTCCGGGAGGATCCCGCATGCCGCGGAGCAGCTAGGCCCGTGAGCCATGGCCACTGAGCCTGTGCATCCGGAGCCTGTACTCCATAATGGGAGAGACCACAACAGTGAGAGGCCTGCATACTGCAAAAAAAAAAAAAAAAGTGAAAATAATGAAACCAACCATTTGGATAAAGACATAGAAAAGAACCTCAAATGAGTCGGGAAATAACAGTAGGAAATTTCCTCACTTTGGCAAGAAATAATAAAAAATGGCATAAAGGATAAATATTTGGGAAAATATAGAAAACATTCTATCTTTATTTTAATATAATGTTACATTCCTAAAGAAGATTATTGACAGATTAAATATAAAAACACCACAATATATTGTGAGGTATATAAATATGTAGAAGCAAAATACATGACAACAAGGTTACAGTGTGTGGGAGACAATTGTAACTAAGGTTTTTACACTGTGACATAGTATAATAGTTGAAGGTAGATGTTGCTATGGTAAAGGTGCATAATGTATTCTATTGAGCAATACTAAAAATAATAATATATTTTTAGCATATAGCTAAAAATGCTAAAGGGGATAAATACTAAATCCTCACTGATTCAAAAAGGGGCACAAAAGGAAGAGGATGACGAAACTGATGGGACAAATAAAATGAATACCAAGATGGTAAGATTAAACTCAATCACATCAATAATTAAAAGAAAATAGACTAAATACACCAATTAAAGGACAAAATTCATCCGACTGGATATCAAAGCAAGATCCAGCTAAATGCTGTTTACAAGATACACACTTTAAATATAAGTGCCGACAGTTTGAAAACACAAGGATGAGAAAAATGTATAATATATTTTATATAAATATTAATCATAAGAAAGTTCTTATAACTACGGTAGAGTCAGGAAGAGTAAATTTCAAGATGAAGGGCAATACCAAAGATAAAGAGAGACATATGGTCAAGAAGATACAACAATCATATGTACATATGAAGCAAAAATAACTCTTTAGATATAAAAACAAATGAAAAGAATTAAAGGGAAAATTAGAAAAAGACACAATTATATTAGATGATTCTAACACTATTTGGTTAAAAATAGCAGAAAAATAAGTAAAGATATAGAAGATTTGAAAACAAATATTCATCAACCAAATTGTTCATTCAACCCAACTGGCATTACAGAAACAAAGAAACAAAATCAAAATACTTCAAAATGCACACTTCTTGCAAGTGTGCATGCAGTGTTCACCAAGACAGACCATGCACCAGGTCATGACACACACACCAATAAATTTCAAAAGATTGAAATCATTGAATATGTTCTCTAACCACAACATTATTAAAGGTAAAACCAAAAAGATATCTTTTAAAATCCTTAATCCTTGAAAATTGATTGTTGAAACAATCAAGAGGTCAAAAATAAATATTTTTTGAACTGAATTATAATGAAAAGCCAGTATGTCAAAATTTGTGAGATGCAGCTAAAACAAGGAAATGTACAAGAAAATGTATAATTTTAAGTGCCTATGTGATATTCATACCAACTAGTGTGGCAGCTGAATTCAATAAGACTGATGATATCAAAGGTTACTGAGAAATTGGATACCTTGCATAATGCTGATGAGGGTCGTACATGTCTGGAAAGATGTTTGACAGTTTCTTATAAAATTAACTCTACTACTCAGCTTCCACTTCTGGATATTTATTCAAGAAAGTCCTCTAAAGGACTTTCCTAAGAATATTCATACCAGTCTATTCATAATGACTAAAAACTGATAGCAATCTAAGTGTCCATCAAAAAGAGAATAGGTAAAAAATTTGTGGAATCATCACATGATGTAATACTACTTGACAATAACTAAGAACTGCTATAACCTGGTTGAATCTAAAAAACATTGTGTAAAGTGATATAAACCAGACAGAAAAGAGTATATACAATATGATTCCACCACACATAAAACTAACCTATAGTGATAGAAATAAGAAAGTCATTGCCTCTGGATGTGTGGGTTGAGGGTGAAAGGTAAGAAAATTGCCTAGACAGGGGCAAAATGAAACTTACTGGGATGATGGAAATGTTCTATATCTTGTTTTGGGTGGTGGTTACACAGGTGTATATAGCTGTCAAATCTCGTCAAACTAAATCCTTAAGAACTAGGTATTTTATTGTATATAAATTATAACCCAGTAAGATTTTAAAAATATATTAATGGAGATTTTCTATATCATTGTTAAACTTTTTCTGAAAAAATCCCATTTACTAAATATTTTAGGCTTTGATGGCAATACTGTCTATGTTACTCAACTCTACCATTATTGCAAGAAAGTGGCCATCAACAAAGGTAAACAATGGGCATTGCACCATTAAACTGTATTTACATGTTAACTAAAATTACTATGGTGATCTTTTTGCAATATATATATAAGTATCAAATCATTGTGCTTTACACCTGAAAGTAATATATTGTTATATGTCAATTACACCTCAATAAAATTCTTTTAATTTAAAAATTTAAAAATACACACACTTATATTTACAAAAGCAGGTGGCAGGATGGTTTCATAGGCCAGAGTTCCCACCTTTGTTCTGTATTCTTACTTATTTTTTCTAATTGATCAGTTAATTATTAAAAGAGGTATTAAGGAGAGGTATTAGTGAACTTGTCAAATTCTTCTGGCTGTTCTGTCAAATTTTACTTTATGTATTTTGAGGGTTTTTTTTTATTACATGAATACATTCTATGTACTTGTAAACATACTGGTGAATTGACACTCCAAACTTTATTGTTGTTGTTAGTGTGTTCTTTATCTGTAGGACAGTAAATTATTGGCCTTAAGGTCTAAAACTAGTTAAGCCCTGTTTCTAATAGTAAAACACTACATTTTTAAAGTAAAATATATCTGATATATAGTTTTCAATTTTTTTAAATTTTAACTTTTCTGTGCCTTTGTATTTTTAGAATTCCTTATAAGCAGCATATAGCTGGATTTATCTTGAACAAGTTTGAAAAAAATCTTTTAATTGGAAAGTTTAATCTATCTATCATATTATTTTGGTTTCTCTATGTCCCTCATTTTATGTTTATTACTTTCGTTTCTGACTTTGTGTGCATTTATTGAACGTTTATAATCCATTTTGCCACTGTACTGTTTTATAAACTACACACTAATTCCATTCTTTGAGTAGTTTCTAAATACATGCGTATTTTACAAAAAATCAAATTTTAGTCATTGCCTCTGCAAAATAGGTTAATATAACATATTAACTTGAATTCCATTACTCCATCTTAGCATTTTATCCTTTTTCAATATTTTAATGCTATTATGTTTTATCTCCCCAATTAGACACGATTGTTATAATTTTGTAAGCCAATTTATTATTTTTCTTATATCTCAAAATCTCCTTTAAAATTATTTCCTTCTACCTGAAGCATTTCTTTCAGAAATTATTTATATGAAAGTCATTTGAGTCAACTCTATCAGTTTTTGTTTTAATAAAAATGTCTTTATTTTACTCTCTTTCTTCAGTAATAGTTTAGTTGAGTCTCCCTCAGAACCTTGAAATCGTTATTTTACTGCCTTTTTCCTTTCACCTTTGCTGTTGAAAAGTCTTCTCCAAGTCTGTCATTTCTTCATAGGCAATTTGTTGTTTGTTTGTTTTTTTATTCTGGGAGTCTAT